GCCTCAGCCAGGCTGGAAAGTACATTAGGTTTCAGACGGCCAGGTGCTGCCTCTGATGGACCTTGGGGCCAAGACCGGGTCATCACGGGAAGAGCGTGTCCAGGGTGGGAGGAGTGATGGGGAGTTAGGGTGGAAGGAAGGTGGCACTGGCTCCGGTTGGAGGACACGAGGGGGGACGAGTCGGCCGCACACAGGAGCAGCTGCTTGCACAGCGCCTTGCTTTGTGCTCCGGACTCCAAGCCCACATATTTATAAAAGCACAACTGGTTTGAGTTTAATGAGAGGATATTCACAAGGAAATCCGAAGTGTCTACCTCAGAACCGGTGTTAACTGGCTTATGATGGAGCCGAATTATTTAGTTATTTTTTCTGTCTCGTGCTTAGCTAATCCTAACCTGACTGACCCAAGGCCAGGGTGTAGCCGAGACAGTTATCCTATCCCTGGCTATGTCGCTCAGCAAGATTTTGTTAGATCAAGGCCATGTCTTTCTGTCACTTCAAAGTACGTTTTTCGTGAGCAGAGGGTCAGTGATTTGGTACTCTTAGAAAATTACTCTATTCCTGGACAGTTTACTTTCATTAGGCATATTAGCTTCATGAGATTTTATTTTTAAATGCTGAATACTTCAGAATGCCTGTTTTACTTCTGTTGTCTGAGATGAGGCTTTTAAGGAGTAACAGACACCGTAATAAAAGCTGGCGTGGTTTTCACAGTCAATAAAAAGGTATCTGCGTGAACGCGGCTTTTATCTCAGGAAGGCTTGCGAACAGCCTCCCTTAGCAACACTGAGATCAGCCCTGATGCCTTATTCTTCTTTAATATTCAGGTTCGAACCAAGTCTTTCAAGAGATGGGACGGATTGAGTCTTTTCAACCAAGCAAGTCGAAGTTGTCACTCGGCAGTTTTCATGTAAAGTCTGGCAGCAGTGTCTGAGTTTTCATTTTATAACTTATTTTAGAGTTGGACTTTTTTTCATTTTAGCCTCTTCGGTTCTTATTCTCTTTGTTCCCACTTCATGGCTTTTATTCGTCAGGATGAGTACAGGGTCTTCCCTTTTTTGGGGGTCAGAGTTAATGTTTCTGAACATGGCAGGGTGGCCGGTGGTGAGCTGGCTCTCTCCTGCTTCTCTGCTGTCCCTGCATGAGCCAGATTCAACAACCGGCCTCCGCAAACCGCTCTTTCTACCTCTTTCTACCTCTTTCTCCGGCCTGTGCGCATTACTTGCTTTGCTTTGGGGATACTTTTTTCTGGCGGAGTCTTGCTTATCTTTCTAGAACAATCATGCATTGCTGAGGAACAGGGATATATTCTGAGAAATGTGTGCCTAGTAATTCTGCCATCTGGTGAACGTGGCAGTGTATTTGACATACCCAGGCGGCACATGTCAGTCACGTCATGTGGTCGGTCTCTTGAAGCCGCTCGGAGGCACAGCAAGCATGACGTATATGCCAGTGCAACAGGGCGTGTGGTCATGTTTCACAGTGGATTTTTGTTGTTGTTTGTGTTTTTGAGGCAGGACCTTGCCATGTATGTCAGGCTACAACTTGAACTAGCTGTGTAGCCCAGGTTGGCCTTAAACTCGTGATCCCACTGCCTCAGCCTCCTGAGTGCTGGAATTACCAGCGTGTGCCCCCACACCCAGTGATTTTTTTTTAATAAGTGGAAGTATCTCTGAAGTAGTGATAGGAGTATAGTAAATATATAAACCAATAAGGTGATTATTTATGAAGTATTGTGTACTGTACATAATTGTATGTGCTATGCTTTTACATGACTGGTGTCACAGCGTTATCACAAACGCGTGAGTAATGTCTCGCCCTGTGATATTACTACAGTCATCGTGCCAGTAGGCAACAGGAAGTGTTTAGCTCCGTTATACCCTCTGGGACTGTGTGTGTGTATGTGGTCTGTCACCGACCGAAACAGCCGTTGTTTCGTACAGAACTGTACTTGATTCTTAGGGCATTTCCTTCCTTCCTTCAGATTGAGCGGGGCCCGCTTCTGCGAGGACCCTCTGTGACTCTTGGCCATAGGGCTGGATTTCAGCTATTACCTTTTTCATCCTACACCGAGAAATTCTTGAGGGACAAGGATTAAGTCTTCTGTGCGTATCTCCTTATCCCTCCTGCGTGTCTCACTTACCCGAGTTTTTTGGCGTGTGTGGCTGAGCTGCGTCTCCTCTTCTTTGCAGTAGTAGTTCTTCATTACTGAGAGTTGTGACTTAGAGCCCTGGCTTAGAGGCCGAGGCATTCATGTATTCATTACCAGCTATCTTTTGGACTGTTCTCTGTCAAGGACGACGCTAGTTGTTTGCTTCTAGTTGGAGGCCATGAGATTGAAGCGTCAGAGCATGTGTTACGCTAGACGTGGGCAGGAAGTAGAGGCTGGAAGATTACAAAGAAATGAAAGCAAGAAGTTTTGAAGGTGCACGTATGGGAGACTGTCCCATGCATATTTACACAAAGAAATATGTCAAGAGCTTGTTTTGAACCCATATTTTTATAGCTAGTGTAGAAGAGGTAACTGTGCCTTAGGCACCAGCTGTGCCAGTCTCACCAACTTACAGAAATATACTGAAGGTGTTTTAATTTAAACTCCTTGAGTTTTAGAACAGTGTTGGAAAGTATCGTTAGCTTTACATGCAGAAGAAAGATTTACATCTGCAGCCTCCAAATTGTGTGTGTGAGAAGTCAGGTTTTCTGGGGGTGGTTAGGTGGAGGCGCTGGGGAGTGGACCAGGGCCTTCGCCCCGAGCTGCACACCCAGCCCTTCTTATTTTTATTTTGAGACCGGGTCTCACTAAGTTGTTAACTTATGTAGACCTGTTTGAACTTGGGGTCCGTCTTCCTCAGTCTCCCAGAATACTGGGACCACACACAGGTAGAGAAATCAAATTTAAGGGTTTTCCTTTCCTTTTTGTTTTATTTGTAGAGAATGAAAAATAAGCAAAAAGGAAAAGGAAATAATTGCCTTGTATAGTACTTGAAAGTGAGGTGGAGTCGTTTATGTTAAAAAAGGGAGACCTCTCATCATTCAGTTCCACCCTATGCATGTAACCTTTCCGCAGTAATTCTATTTCTTGACATGCTTTGTAAGCACTGTTGTTAAAAATAGTCATGTTCACTGCCACCTTTTGTAATAACTTCACAGACTCCTTTCGACACTTAGCCAACTTTGCTCTGATTTAATCTTCATTTTGTTTTTTTAAAGAGAACTTTTTTTTACAAAAGTGAATGAGATTTTTTTCCCCTGAAGTCCAGTTGTGTAGACATTATTCAGCAGACACAGTTCTCCTTACCACCGTTCTCTGTGGTCAGGAGTTGGTATTTCGGTGTATGTTCTGGGCATGTGGACTTTGTTCAAACATTGCAACACTTTCCCCCCAGTTGGGGTCACACTTCCTCTACTCTGTCAGCTGTAGTTTGCACTCATTAATGCTTTATGTCACGGGCAGTCTTTGTGTTACCACATGCAGGTGAGTCACAGGGTTTTAAGCAGCTGGTGATAGTTCATACAGTAGGTCTACTATAATCTAATAAGCTGGCTTTCTACCGGGGTGTCTCCAGTATTTTGCTATTGCAAATAATTCCTTAATAAACACTTTTGTGTCTTATCCCCAGTGTGTATTTTTGTAGAATGATACCTAAATGTGCATGGGTGGAGGTGCTGCAAGTGTAAAATGTCGCTTTGGTTTAAACATTAATTCTTCAAGACTTTCTTTCTTTTTTTTTTTTTTTTGGTTTTTTTCCAGTACCAGGAACCGAACTCATGACCTTGTGCTTGTCAGGCAGGCACTGTGCCGCTGAGCTAAATCCCCAGCCCTTCTTCAAGACTTCCAACAGTTGTTTCTGTTGTTGTTTTTGGTACTAGGAATTGAACTCAGGACCTTGCGCTTGCCAGGCAGGCGCTTGTGCCACTGAGCTATATCTGTGGCCCAAAGTATTTAACCATAATGATAACTCCGATTTCACCATGACCTTTATTTAAAAGAGGAGATGGCTTTCTTTATTAAAGGCCCAGTGAAACATTCGGGGAAGGGTTTTTAAATCGCCTTTCTCCTCATGCTACAAACGCGAACTGTATGTGCTATGTACAGCCTTTGATACGAAATGTTACTTGGTCTTCCCATGCTTTGGAAAAGACATGTTCTTATTCAGGGCACCTCTTCGGTAATGCTGTTATCTCACTGGATGTTGGTATTTCTTGTGATGAACCACAGTGTGTTTATTTTGATTCTAGTTCGTACTGTAGAGATAGGATGGACATAAACCTATTCTGTGGCATAATTCACCTTTACAGAAATACATAAAGGTGGCTCTATCCATAAAAATAGAAGCCATAGACTTTATTTTGTGTACGTATTTTAAGTTCTTTTTAGATCTGCATTGTGCCTTGTTGAAGAAGTGGAAGTGTGTAGTTGATCTGGTCGGGGCAGTAACCCTTGCTTTTAGGTTATAAGAGCAGGTTTCTGGAGTCACGGGTTGAGGGTCTTTTCTGGTGCCCCACACAAGTAGATAGTTGGTGCTGCGTGTTATGTCTGTTTAGTTCAAGTTTGTTCACCTATGTTTGAAAGTACGGTTCATTCCAGATTTTGTAAACAGACACAAAATTGCTACTTGGAAAGTATCTTACAGATTTCAGATTCACATTAGAAGACAAATGGGCTCACACTCTTTATTCTGAAGTCCTCATTAGTTAAACCATGCATAGCAGTAGACAGATGTTTGGGAGGTGGGTATTTGTGTTTTATTGTATTTTATTTTTGGCAACCTGCAGATGGGACCCACGCCCTCACTCATGTAGGGCAAGCGTCCAACCACCGAGCTACCCTCCCTGCATTTTATTTATTTTTTAATAAAGTCTTATTTTTCTTTATTCTAAGATTTCATATTCTGTACAGTCTGATTGGTAAATGTTTTTCTACCCGTCTTTTTGCAAGAGATCGCATTTTGAGATGACAATAGCTTATTTTAAAGACTGTTTTTTTCTCTTTTTAACAGAAAACAAGCATCGTTGTGGGTCCAAGGTGACATTTTCCGATCCAAACTGAAAAGTAGACCATCCAGTGACGGAAGTATTAATAAAATTCTTTCTAGCCTGGATGAGATGTCTATCGGTGGGAACACATCTAAAATCCAAAACGTGGAGAGGTTTGCAGAGGTGAGTTTTCCTCAGGAACATTTGTCTTCATTTGTCTCCCAGGTGATGTGTACAACACGGTCGTATCTTTTCTCTAAGATGCTGGGGGGACGGGATTTTGAGGTGTGGAGTCATCTACCTATAAAGCAAGAAGCAGAGAAGACAAACCAGTTGCACTTAAAAAGAAAGCTGTAACTGAAAGAGTACAATTAAATTCTGATATGATGAGTATTCACAGAAAGCAAACTCCATTTTGAAAATAGAAATATCAAGAAAAATGCTAATGTTGTAATGGAAGTAGCATAATAAAAGTGGTTCTTTTACAGCCTCTAACACATTGATTTTGAAAGCGCAGAGTTGAAAACATAATTAGGGACAATTTTTTTTTTTGAGGTTTTACTATAAACACACCACTTGGAGTAATTGTTATACATGGTCTGATTTAGTCTTTGAAGCTACTGGGGCAGTTGGGTAACATTTTCTCTATTTTATAGGAGGAACTGTGTATCAGTGGTCTTTAACCTTGGCATTAAAACGTGATTCGGTCTCTGTCTGTCTGGTCCCCAACTCACGTTTTTTGTTTTTGTTTTTGTTTTTGTTCCGTTACCTCTGAAGTCGCAGGAAGTAACTGAGTGTTTTTGGAACCAGAAGCAAGCTTGTCATTTGTTGTATTTATTCTCTTGTGTGGATAAGGTACCAGGGGCCCTGAAAATTTGGGATTTACCTAAAGTCCCAGAATTGTTTAGGAGTGGTGCCACTTAGAGAATTGGGTGTCGAGTTCCTAGCTCAGTTCTTTGTATCATCTTGTACCTGAGATGAAGCTAAGCACTTGGTTTACAATCTTATATACTTAGAGCAGAAGGAACAAAAAGCTGTTAAAAATGAAGCAACAAGTGTAGATTTACATGCTGCCAGACAGTGACCCAGTGGAACCAGACCCGAGCCTTGAACAAAACGGGGTGGCTCAGCCACACCCCTCAAGGAGCCCCAGTGGAAGAGGTGACCTAGCTCTCTTAGCCTCGGGGTCCCCAGAAGCGTTCTCTCAGCAGGGAAGAGAGTCCAGGCTGTTGGAGGTGGGCAGTTGATTTTTTTCAAGGACAAAGGGTGGGGCCCCTGAATGAACAGAAGGTTTTTGCCCGTGTATGCTGTCCAGGACAGCAGCCCACAAAGTGGTGAAGTTTGCTTGTTTGAGTCATTTGTCCTGATGAAATGTGAATCTCAGCCAGTGTCATGTTGATGTGCAAAGTGCTGGTTGGCGTTTTCTTGTCTCTGTGTTACAGTCTGGCCTACTGAAGCCAACAGGAAGGCTCAGAACTAATAATTTAATGTAATCGCATTGCTAAACAGGGACGTTTTTTGTTGCTCTTGCCAACATTTTTCCTCGGAGTTGAGGTGGAATTGAAGCACTTGGGGCTTTGAGCTGTGATCTCTGAAAAGGCAAACACAAAATTTGTCCTTCTGTCTGAGGACCACGCTTATAAGAATAGAATGGTGTCTATAGTATGAACTGTATTCAGCTGCTATCTGGTAGCTGGAATATTTCATTTTACCCCTTTTTAGACTTTTTTTTAGTTTTGCTAAACTTAAAAGTAATTGACTCTTAGGGGCTGGGGATAGAGCTCAGTGGCACAAGAGCCTGCCTGACAAGTCCAAGATCCTGAGTTCGAGTCCTGGTACCAAAAACCACTGAGACTTCCTTGCAGGCCCGAGATCCTGAGTTTGATTTCCGGTTCCAAAAAAAAAAAAAAAAAGTAATTGACTCATTACTGGACGAGTGAAGAACATAATGTGATTGAAATTTAAAATATGTCAGATTTAAATGTGAGCACGTGTTTAGATGTTGACCCTTTCTACACCTGCCCACCGCCGCATCCCCTCGTGGCCCGCTCCAGCTGCGGCACCAGAATATATAAATTGGGTGGCTGATAAACAGCAGAAATGTGTTTCTTAGCGTTCTGGGGGCCGGGAAACGCAAGATAAAGGTGCTGGCAGATTCAGGGCGCTCCCTCCCTCCTTAGATGGCGTCCTCTCCCTCCTTCCTCAACCGGCGAGAAGGGGCGGAATCCCAATTATGAAGGATTCACCCTGCTTTGGGTCTAATCACTCCCAGAGGCCCTGCCTCTTAACTGCCATCGCCTTCGGGCTTAGGAGTTCCATACAGGAATTTGGGGAGGCTTTTGGTGGGTGACACGGAACTCTACCAAATATTTTAGCTGTAGCCATTAAAATGCCATTGTTTCCACTTTATAGGTAGTTGATGGTTTGTGTGAGTAACTCTCTCAGACCTTTTCCTGCTATGCTGATCTGGTACCAGCTGTGGAACCCTGCACGACAAAGGGAAACGTAGCTCGCCCAAACGTGGACTCAATAGAGTTAGTTAGAATAAGGAATATGCTGTACTGTTCTTGTAAGTTGTAAGAAAAAAACAGAGGGGCTGGGGATTTAGCTCAGTGGCAAAGCGCCTGCCTGGCAAGCGCAAGGTCGTGAGTTCGATTCCTGGTACCAGAAGAAAAACAAACAAACAACAAAAAAGAAATAAACAGAAATGAAAGGTACTGTAAGGATTTTACTGTGTTTCAAATTCTGTGCTAGTGTTCAGGGTGGAAGCCCATGGAAGTTCTGAATTTATAGAGTTTTTGCGTAAAGTGAAAAGAGCAGTATTCCTCCAGAGGTTACCTTTAAACAAATAGAAAGCTGAGATCTAGATTATTATTATTTTTTGTTTTCTAGGCCTACCAGCATTTCTTGTGATTAATTACTGGGAAGCTCCATAATGACTTGATTTAGATAATTTGAATGTGCAGTGTGTAGGAGTCGGTGAAAGAAGGAATAAGCAAAACAGTATGCACTGTAGTGATGGGTTCTGCCGTGGCCTTAATGAATTTCCTGGCCCGCTGAGTATTGTGAGAAGTCTTAGAATATAGAGACTCTCCCTGTTGTGAGCCAGGTCATCGGTGCTGGTGTAGGCACTGTGAAATGCACACGACCCCGTGTGTCTAGCTTGGGCTCCTTGCTCCGAGCTCCTCCCTTCTCTGTGCTTTTCTTCCATGGGCTTACGTTTCCTTGTCTGCTAGGGGATATGCTCTAGGGTGGTAGAATTTTTTATCTGTTTGCATCATGATTCTATTTCTGGACCTATTACAGTTTCAGAGCCAAAAAAATCAAAAAAAAGAAAAATAAGGACGGAGACGTGAAATTGGTAATAATAATGTAGTCACACGAGGACAGTATATGCTTTGTATGGAATAATACCAGCATGAAGGGCTCATGTTGACATTCAGGGGCTTGAGGGTCTGTTGTGGATGGGAGTTACAAAAAATGGCCTGAAGAAGATGGAATTTAAAGCACTTTATTTAAAGTACACATATTGGAGTTAAACAAGGAGAGTGTGTGTGTGTGTGTATATGTGTGTGTGTGAGAGAGAGAGAGAGAGAGACAGCCACCTGTCTAGCACCCACTGTGTGCCAGGACCTGTGTTAGGCACTCATTATGGATGAAGTCCCTTAGTCCTTAAGACAGCCATATGTCACAGGCACTAGTGTGAGGTCCACTTAGAGACAGCATCGTTGAGGTAGAGAAAGGTGAGCCACCTACCCAAGATCTTGCATGTGGCGGAGATTTGAACCCGGGCACGCTCCTTTGAGTCTGTGCACTCCACTCTCCTACCGGGCCCGCTGCCTCTCCATGAGATCTTCAGTGTGGCTTCAGTCCATTATATCAAGTAATTTTGGATAGAACTTCAGCCAGATCCTTCGAATAAATTTCTCCCATCATTAAAATAGCTTTCACTTTTTCTTCTTCTACCCAGTGGCCATCTCCCACTATTAGCACACCAATCAGTAGAGGCTCTTGACTTTAGAGGTATTAATTAGGCACAGATGCCGCTCATGCTCAGCCAGGTTCACCTCAGTTGACAGCCAAGTAGACAAGAATGTAATGTTTTGATTACCTCTTTGAGATATTGTGATTTATAAAATCCATCAAACATGTATAAGCAGGGTGTCTCTTAGAAGAATCCGTGAAGTAAAGTTAAATTTCTAAGGCCTTACTTTTAAGCACCTTTTCTCCCTCTTAGACCCAGGAATGCTGTGGGAGCGCCGGAGCTGTGAGACAGAATGACAGCACACAAATTCGCAGTTGGGGGAGGGACCCTGGCTGTAGCGTGGGGGGCCCTGGAGCCCACATGGGACTTGCGTGGGAGGCCGTGGAGTGGTGATGGTGCGGGCCCAGGTTTCTGAGGCCTGGCCAGTGGCAGTGAGCAGGAGAGGTGAGAGACGGGGGTGGTACATCCCAACTCTACTGATCTAAGTAGATTCTTATGGAGATATCATCCTTGCGTTTCCCCAGCTTTGACATCTTCCAGGTTCAACACCCGAGAGTTAGAAAGAGCTTTCGTGGTGACTAACCACCGTTCATAGCCAAGCCATGTAAGTCAGCTGCAAGTTTAATTTTGAACTCTGTCCCTAACCCTTTGAATTCTGTTGTACTCATTTGTATTTCAAGGTCTGTGTCTCATTTTTCTATGATCTCTCTTCCATCTTTATTCCATCAAGTGCTATATTTTATCTAATAGATCCTTTCTTTTTTTTTTATTTTAAAGAATAAAAGAAGGATAACATAATAATAGGGGGGACTTAGCAAATTACAGACAAAATGGTAGGAAATTATCAATGGTTATCGTTTTACGTATTATTATCTACAAAATAGTTTCTCAGGAAAACAAATTAGATCCTTTCTTTTTGAAATTTAGTTTTATTAGTATTGTATGTTTGTAGCACGTTACGCTTACATTCCTTGTGTGTAGCTGGTACCTGTGCATAGCGTGTCTTACGCAGGTCCTTCTTTCATTCCCTTCCTCTTTCCTCCCTCCCTTAAACCTCCATCTCTTGATCGAAATTGATCAAACAATGAACAAACCTTTCCTTTCAATAACTAGTAGAAATTAGTAGTATAATTTTCCTACCTATCGTATATATAGATACACACACAAGAAGGAAGGAGAAAGAAAATGTATACGTATATATTGTTTTCTCCTTTCCCCCATCCCAGCTGTTCTTTCCTTTTGAGCAGTTTCCTTCCCTTTAGCAGTATCTACTGGAGAGTTTGCATCTTACTTACTCTTTCAGTTTCTTACACTAGGGAGACAATACGGTGTTTGTACCCTTGAATCTGAGTTATTTCCCTCACGAGCATGGTCTCTAGTTGCATCCATTTACCTATAAAAGCCTCGAGTTTGCCCTTCTTTATAGCTGAGTAGTACCCCACTGTATAAAAATACCACATCTTTTTTATATACAGGAAAATCTTGCATCTGAAGGAAGGATTGTTGATTCTTACACCTCCACAGGGAGAGCAGATCTCTTTCCTTTACGGGACAAAGACATGAAGGTCTCCCCTGGGCTAGGCTTCTTTAGCATTGCTCTTCAGTAGTCTCTTGGCTTTGTTTCTGAATCTGCTCCTTCTTGACCAGCTCAGGCTGGCGAGGGTCTGCCCTGTTACTCAGTAGGGACAGTGGCCGGAGCCCAAGGGTGGGTTCTCCCCACTTGTGCTTTGTGAGTGGATTCTTTAGTTATCGGGCAGATGGAAGCTGGCATAAAGAAGGAAGTCTAACAGCACAGAGTGTGAGATGTCTTCAGACTGCCCCGGTCCAACAGCGTGAGATTGTTTACGTGCTATATGGAAATACATTTCCTAACAAACTCCCCGCTTCCTCCCCGCCGCACTCTTACGACTTGCTCTATACAGTATTTTAGGGTTGATCCTCTAATAAATACAGGCCTTGGTTCTGTGCATATCTGTATGTTTTATTCACTGTTCCAGGAAGCTAAAATCCTTTTCCAAACAGCTTTTCAGTTTCATTTTTTTCTGTAATTTGATGAAAATGTGTTTGAATAATATTGTATAACTATTTTTGTCAGGAATTTAAAGGTAATTACAATAATCACTTACTGATGATCTTATGGTTTATACTTTTAGTCCTACAAATACCCCAAACTTCATACGGCAGCTGTAGAAACAAGCTAAGAGCAGATTGATTTAGACAAAAAGGAACATTCCAGTAGGTCCCTTCACATCTGCACTGCATGTCTGCATCTTTTCCCTTTTTCCCCTTCCTTAAGTCTTGACTTCCAGGGAGTTTTCCCAAACCCTGGTCCAGTCTTCCATCTCCATCAGATCACTGTAGTAGCTGCTTAACCTTCTCTACTCCTGTTCTTTCCTGTCTCCAGTTCTTTCTGCTTACAGATAGAAAATGGGAAGAAATGTTTACCACATACGCAAATCAGTTTTTTTTGTACAGAACTCTTATAAATCAACCCGAGAATGCCGTGTACACAAATAAAGTAAAATGGAAGCTCTTGCAGCTGCCGATCATAAGAAATGTTCTACTTCCTTAGAAATGATAGAAACACAAATTGAAATGATGAGATACTGTTTTGCCTATTAAATGTTAAGAAATATATGCATTATTGGCAAGGGCTTAGGGAACAGAAAGTTCTTAAACTTTGCTGGTTGGAGTTTAAAATGGTGCAACCATTTTGGAGGCCAGTTTGATAACTTGTAGAAGACAACTTTAAAATGAAGTTAGAAATTCTGCTAATACGAATTTGTTTTAAGGCAAGAATAAGACTTTTCAAGAAACATGTGGGTGTAGAAGGGTGTTTGTTGAGCTGGTTATAGTGATAAAAGACGGAACAGTCTGACCTAGAGTTCTTGTGAAATAATAAAATTTTGGCTCATCTAGACAATGGAATTTTATGGGGCCATAAAAATGATAATGTGGAGATCTTTCTTATTTGTCCTGAAACACTTCCACAATCTTTTTTTTTTTTTTTAGTGAAACGATAAATTACTAAGCAGCATGTATAATAGAACTTCTTTTTGTAAAAAGTAAGTCAGGGGAGGGTGTGTAGCACAGGAAAAACTCTGGCGGACTACCGCCAGAGTGTGAATGTGTTCGGCTTTTGATGGTGATTAGATTGGTGGTTTTAATATCTTTTCATGCTTATCTGTACTTTGTTTCTTACAACAGATTCTATCTGGTAAACACACACACACAGTCACTTCCTTTTTTCTTTTATTTTCGCAAAGACAAGGCAAGTTTTCCTCTAGAGTTTGCGAGCTTAAACTTTATAAGCATTGTTTTCTTTTTGAGAGCAAGGGTGCTTAATTTAAGTAAATTTAATGGAAAGCAGTAAAAATATATTAAATCCAGGTAATTAGGTGAGCAGCAGCGTGTTACAGTATTTTATTTTCTGTTTTTCGAGATGTGTCATAATTTACAAAAAAAATTTGACCAAGATTCACAACAGAATGAGAAAAGCAGATGTAATTATAATATACTATTAATTTTAACTATATGCTCTTTAAAATTAATCATTTCAAATAATATATGACTAGAACTATTGAAATCTAATAATAAAACTATTGATCCCGGGTCTCTATCTCCAGACCTCTAAGCAAATCTTATTGTTACTAATATTTTCACTGCCATATTTCTAAATACTTTGCTTATACTGGCATTTTTTAAAATTGCCTGTCGGCCGTTTTCTGTTGCCTCGTGGCTGCAGAAGGCACGATTCACATTTTCTGTCTCCCTGTCCTCTCCGCTCCTCTTGAGCTGGTGTGCAGAGAGACTAACATGGTACTTCTGCTTTTCAAATGATACAGTTAATTTAATTTAATTTAATATAATTTTTTGAGACAGGGTCTCACTTTGCAGTTCAGGCTCACCTGAAGCTCACTTTGCAGCCCAGGCTGGCCTCGAACTTGCAAAGATCCTTCTGCCTCAGCCTCCCGAGTGCTGGGATTACAGGTGTGCACCATCATGCCCAGCTCTACAATGAATTTGGGTATTCCCAATTCAGTGACATTGGTCCATCACTCCTTCTGGAAAGAACTTGAGTGCTTTTGCTAGTGTTAAATGATGTTAATAAGTTACCATTGTAGATGTCCTCAATTGTTTTACCTTGTGATCTTGTAAAAAAGTTAGGGAGTTTGCCATGCTGTTTCACTGGGGACGTGCTGGTAGCGTTGGGGACGTGTCTGTATTGTCTGTCAAGCCAGGCTGTGTTAGGCTGTGTACCGTCGCCTGACTGCGTATGTGAGTGTCTCTTTGGTTGTGGTCCACTGTTAACAAAGAGCTGATTTTAAGTTCTATCACATCCGCACTCAAGTTTTTTGACGATGGCAAATAGCTCAGCATTCTTCAGTGTATACTTGACAAATGCTGAATTCATAACCCACTTAAGTGACTTAAAATAATCTGTATTAACATTATATAAACATGTCTGTAAACATAGATAATCTATAATCTGTGAAGATACTCATATAAAGTAAAACTATAATGACCTTTCTATGGAATGTGCATTTTTTTCCCTAGAATAATTTAGAAGATGAAGATGTGGAAATGAAAAATAATATCACCCAGGGAGACAAACTACGTGCCTTAAAAAGCCAGAGGCAGCCACGCTCCTCACCGTCCTGTGCATTTAGGTAGATCTATTTTAAACTTTTAGAGTCATAATGTGCTTCCATTTATGGATAGAACTTCTAATCTTCTCCTTCAAATGTCATTCTACAGATACCAAGTTTACCTCATGTTTTTTGATTTATAACTATTTTTGTTGTTTAGTTATGTATTTTATCACTGCTGGATCTAGCTTAATTTTTGAAGCTTTATTAAAAGTAACTGCTACATCTCAGTCTCTGGGATTCTGCCTCAAGCTGCTAAGCAGTTGTCACTGGTAATCCGTTCCCAGTTCTACTCAGAATTCTGCCTTTCTCCCAGAACTGGGTTTCTGGTCTTGTGAAAATCCTCACAGATGTGCCAGGAATTTTGTACTGAAGCCAGAGCACAGCAGAAAGTTTTGTGTGCTGAGCTTTGGTGAAGTCCATTAAAGCCCATAGCTTTACCTTCTGTTTAGCTTTACCTTCTGTTTTTGAGAATGAGTTAAATAAGTGAGTCCTTTGTGTGCCTGTGAAGTTACGAACTGTCATGCTTTTGAAGTCTGCAAACACTCATCAAAATCAATGATGGAACTTGATTTCTGACCACAGCATTTGAAATCTTCTGATGGTTCAGGTTGGGTTTTAAAAAACGAAAGATTTTGGATCATTGTAGGTGAAAAACTCTGTAAATATTAAGATTCTTTACTGTGATATATGGAGTGAAAAGACCCTAGTCTACAAAAGAATGTAATGCAGCTAACTACTTTGATTTGTAAGTGAGAGACATGCATAGCAGAAGGATAATTTTGCCTGTGTGGTAGATACCACATGGATTCACAAGGAATTTAGTTTCCATGTGTGGAACATTTAATTGAGACTGAATCTTCATGTACTTGTTTGCTGACCTAAGAAATGAAAGTTCACATAGAGGTGATGATTTTCTGTAGGACAGTGAGAAAATGGGCTAGCAAACCTGATGCTTGGTGATAACCAGCAATTACCACTGTGTGATCAAGGAAAAATAGCATTTACTGAGCACCTGCTATTGGCCAGGAGCCGTGCTTGGTGTGCAGTTCGAATATGAGCCTTACTTAATAGCGTTATCCCAAGAGATACGCAGGACAGCCCCCGACGTCTGGGTGGGCTGCTTGGTGTCAGAGAACTTCCGTTGTTTCTCAGTGGAATGGAGTTAGAAATGCAGGTGCTATTCAGACCCGGTGCTGTTCAAAGTCTGTGCCCTTTTCACTGCAGAGATACTCATACTGTCTTTTTAACTCAGTGGTATGTTCTTTAGGGTCAGATTATATTACCTCTCTTTTATTGACAATTTTCATCTAAGTAATTGCTTTATATTTAAAATTCACTTGAAATAAATTTCAAACTGATTTATATTTGATTTTTAAGAACTCTTAAGGGGAAAAGAGGGATATATTGGAAAAAAGTATAATAAATAAGTAGCCAAAAGAAATGAATCTTCCCTGCATAAATCTCAAAAGTGAGTTCTAATATGGCTTTTCTGTTTTCTTTTTAATGCTCAGGCATTTTCTCAGTTTGGGGATTTAGGTTTCTTAAGAGCATCGCGGTAGCATGATGAAGTATTTTTTTACTCTGAGTGGACGTGCTACTACTGTTATTTCTAACTACGAAAAGCAAGATGCTGTAAATGACATTCAGGCTAAAATAAAATGACTAAAGTAGGTTTCCCACTAGTTCTCGGATTGATGTGATGAAGTAGATAAATACAAATATCTACTTGCAAGGTTTTTTTCTCTTTTGCCAATTTAATATCTTCACTGACTTGACTCCACATGATGTGTCTCTTGGTGTTTCTTTAAGTGTGATGCCTGAGTCCTTGTCTTTGATTTCTGCAGGTCAGATGATGTGAAAGGACACCCCAGGGCAGTGTTCCAGCCTTTCAGGTACTGTTAACAAGGCTGAGTTTGTAGTCGCTTGTAAATAAATACATGCTATCTTTTAGACTCAGGCTGATGAAAATAAACTGCACAGCTTTTTGCTTTTTAAGTTCCTTCCTTTCTGTTCCAGATAGTTGCAATGTGCTTTGTTGTTAACGCTCACCCAGCAAAGGGCTTTGTCCCCCGGGCGTGCGCAGAGGGCTGTGTGGCCGCGATGGTGCTGTCCCTGTGCCCTGTGCTCGCGGCACACTCTGGGTCTCTAGCACACTGCGGTGCTGTACGACTTTCCTCTCAGTGCAGGGTAGAGTTTGCCTTGTTATTTTTTCATTTCACTCCTTCTCTTTCCCCCTGTTTTTGTGTGTTATTTGCTCAATGCCTTTATTTTGTGGTCTTATTTCCTCCTCCTACTGGAGGAGGGAGCTTAAGTGTAAAACATCGTTGAAGAATGTCCCCCGCGTATCCCTGGAGGGGCACCGGGTGGTGCATGATCCAGCTGCAGGGCGTGGTGAGAGCAGCAGAGGGGCTGCCCGGGCCGCTGATGGAGTCGGAGGAAGAGGCCCATTCGGTCTGGACTTCCTCATTGTTACTGTCCGTAGGTTTAACATTGTTCACTTCGGGCTGTAATGAGAAGCTCAAGCTTCTCTCTACAACTTTTCCTATTTTTGTTTTGAGCAAAACAAGGAAGGGACTGTTGTTGGGAGGTAGATGATAAAGGAAGGTGTCTGCAGGGGGGATACATGCTTCTGGAGCAGATAGGAAAACAAAGTCCAGCTCCATGATTTTCCCAGATAACGTAGACGGTAATCAAACCATGACTGGCGTGGCCGCCCAGACGGGACCCGCTGTGTGAGGTGACGACTGCGTAGGCCCTGAGAGAGGAGGCTGGGGGTGGGCTGGGGGTGGACGACGAGAAGGAAGGGAGGCGAGGAGACGAGACGATGTCCTGGCAGGGAGAGCAGCACACATAAGCTGGAAGCGGTGCGTTCTGGAAGCTTGGGGTGCTTTGTGTGGCTGCCGTGGAGATGTCTAGGGAAGAACGGAGACCTGCACCTGTCAGAGGCAGGAGTCGGAGTGTTCGGCCACGGAGTGTGGGCTTTATGGGCACGGAGGGAGGATTAGAATGTTTAAACAATGACATGACATGATTAGAAATTTTAGATCGCACCGGAGCCTATTCATGATATGAATCATTAAATAATAAGACAGAAAGGTGGTCCGCGTACTCAGGGGTAAGAGGTCACGTGGCCTCGCCTGGGGTAGTTGCAGAGAGGGAGAGGATGGGCTTGGGCAGCCCCTGGGGACCTGCCAGAGCATGGGCCCCACTGGCAAAGAAGGAGGGGGACGAGGACACCAGGATCATGGGTGAGGGTGGGACTCTGACCCTGACTCAGCGCCAGCTCTGCTACCTGCTGCCCAGGTAACTGGAAGGAGGAGCTGTGCTTTGTGCCTCTGCCTCATTCCTGGCGCAGCGGGGACAGCTGTGTTTTCGGCCTCCCGGGCTGTAGGCATGAGCTGAGTGAACCACTGCTGGGTTCTCGGGCAGGCCCGGCAAAGTCAGTTCCGCGCAGCCATGGTCAGCTGCTGCTCTCACCAGTGCTGGAACTTGTCATGGCTTCACATGCTTGATTATCTTCTCCTGGCTCATTGCTGTAGCATGACGCTTTGTCCGTTTTGCTCCACAAAGATCAAGTTCTTCCCCACAAGGACCCGTGTCTACTTTGAAGACTCCAAAAGTGGCTTTGTCCCCGTCAGTGACAGCCAAGAGGATAAACAGAGGTTCGCTGTCTTCGGGCACTGGTGTAAGAAGGTAATTTTCCCTTCCTTCTTCCCTTCCCTCTTTCTTTCCCTCTTCCATGATACTGGCTTGAGGTAAAAGTAGGGCTCTGAAGCCTGTACCAAAGCCCAGCTGTCACTCGCTGACTGGCTGCAGCGGGCAGTGTGTTGGTTACTGTTTGGTCAGAGGAGGGGAGAGGGGAAGGGGAGAGACCCAAGGGGCTGAGGTCTCCTGGAACTTCTGCGCCTGCCTTGCGTGCAGGGTGGGGCTGAGTGGCGGGGAGGACCCTGCAGGGCATCCCAGTCATCCGGTGAATCTCCAGTTGCGTAGTGTGACCCGGACACTGGGGTTGTCCTGCACGTACGAATGATGAGTGGTTCCATTTCTCAGCTGACGTGCTTAGGCGAAAGCTAAAGTTGCTAGGGGCGTTTGCTGCAGCCGTGCGCTGTAATATGAGCAAGTTACGTCTTGTGTTTAAGTCTGTTTTAACACTTTCCTTTCACTTACTGTGCTTTCCATCTGCTCCGTGCCTCAGAACCAATAGAACCCTGCAGTATTCTAGTTCAGAGCCTCTGGTCAGAGTGTTCAGCCCGCTTCTTGGGTCTTACTTAGCTGATTTGACCAAGGCATGTGATGTTATGCCTAAGGGCCACATGCGTGATGTCACTGAGGGTGACGAAGAAGCCGTGTGTTATTTGCCCTGTCGCGTTCCCCCAGTGTGGTGTGTTTCCTAGGAACACGCGCTCTGAGTGAGTCTCATTGTGTGTGTTTTTCCCTCCTCGCTTGTCTTTCATCCAGTTTCTCCATAAACTCGCGGCTAGCCAGTTCTCTGGGGAGCCTGAACGCTGCGACAGATGACCCGGAGAATAAGAAGACCCCCTCGCCGTCCAAGGCGGCCTTTACAGCCAGCCCGTTCACCAACCTCTTGAACGGCAGCTCCCAGCCACCAGCTAGGAACTACCCTGAACTCAACAACAATCAGTACAACCGAAGCACCAGCGGCGGCAGTGGGGGAAACCCGAACAGCCAGCCCGGTCCGCAGGGCGCCAAGACCGAGGAGCACGTCCCCGTCGTCCGGTCCCCGTACACCGGGCTCTCCTCCTCCTCAGCAAGATTCCTGAGCCGGTCCATCCCTGTAAGTTGCCTGACACCATCTGTTGATCCTCAGAGTCCGGAACGCAATTTTTGTGCCCTCCCTTCCCACCAGAGGCTTCTGCCCAAGAAGCTGAATAGCGCCAAGGAAGCCTTCTGACCACCGCCCGCTCTGTGCTGCGAGGCTCTGTGCCCTGCGTTCTCCTGGCTCCTCTCAAGTAAACGCCAAGTTTCAACTGGGTTTCCTTCTTTCTTTCCCTACCCTCCCTTCTTTTTAGAGGGTCTCTCTTCAAAGGGGAACAGCTTTCGCCCATTCACCATGCATGCTGTCGACTTAAATTCTTTTCCAGTACGTGTCCAGGTCGCTCTGATACCTGGTACAAAGCCAGTAGCAGACTGGTACCGTCGGCAGCATTGGCTTTGGTCGTGGAAGTATTAGGAGCTGAGGCTTCTTCCTCAGTGGTTGGATATGGAGTGGTTTCTTTTTTTTGTACCGGAAATGGAACTCAGGGCCTTGTGCTTCCCAGGCAGGTGCTGTGCCGCTGAGCTGCACCCCTCACCCTGGAGTGTTGAATTATGAAGAGTGCGTTTCTAGAACTGTGTGTCAGGCCCTTGTTGTTCGACTCCCCTTCCAGAAACACCCAGAATTAAGCGACAGTGAGGCTGTTTATAAGACAGGCTTGTAGGTAGGTAGTTAGGGCACAGGGGGAGGAGCAGGCAGAATATCAGGAAAACAATAAAGTTAGCTATCTCCCTTCTAGAGCCAGGTCAGAAGGTCTCCAAACACATTTTACTAATTAGATCTTCATTTAAACTACCCAACTCCCTTTTAAATGAGAGCAATCTCTGTTAGGGTAAAGTCCATTGGCCAATCCCCTACTATAAGTTTAATATTTTATTTCCCCTAAGCGGTACTGAGAGCCATAGGAATGTGCGTTTTGATTTGATAGAAAAAAGGGCAAATAGAAGGCAAACTAGGTTCCACGTGCCAGGGAAACGCGAAGCACGCTGGCCACAGTGATGGCATTTGAGCAGGAGCAAACGCACGTCCGGGGAAGGCTCTGGCCTGACACCCTGCGTGCCCACAACCCGTGACCGTTTCCTCAGCATCCTCCAGGGAGAGGCTGCTTTCTGCAGGGAAGATGACGAGGAGGGAGGAGAGCTGCTGCACGAGCTGCTTGTGGCCGGCTCAGCAGAACAGTGACCGTGGTAAAAATGGGCTGTTGGGACCCCTTTCCTGAGGATGCAGCGCGTGCATGTGTGCGTGCATGTGTGCGTGTATGTGTGCGTGTGTGCGTACATGTGTGCCCGCGCACTGGACTCTTCATTACTCCCGTCCCTGTCTGGCCTCTTTTCTAAACAGTTTTCCCCCTTGCCCCCACACAGTCCTTTCCCTAAGAGGAGTGTTAGCACACGGGGTTTTCCCCGTCTGATTTTATTCCCGGCGATCTCCACCACTACTTTAGATTTCTTTGTAGATTAGGGTGCTGGTAATGGTGAGCCTGCTCACCCCTCAGTCTGATTCTAAACTCAGTATGTAAATTGAGTGGATGTGCACCGTAAAAGCTTACATCTCGGTCATTGAGGATAGGCTGTGAAAAGATAAGGAACTTAAATTTTACGGACTGTTTACTAATCGTGTGCTGCACACCAGGAGTTGAGCTCTCTCATACCGACGGCATCAGCTTCTCTTTGGGACCACAATGCAGATCTTGCTATTTTCAGAAAAAGTGTTACAGATAATTACCTATGTTTGTTGTTTGTTTTTTTCTTCCCGGTACCGGGAATCAAACTCACAACCTTGCGCTTGCCAGGCAGGCGCTGTGCCGCTGAGCTAAATCCCCAGCCCGAAGATAGTTATGTAGATACCTGTATCACCCGCAGTTGTGGTCCAGCGCCAGAAGCACCGGCCATTTGACGGTTCTATGTTTTCAGGCTTTGTTTCCCTCATTGTTGGTGGTAGTGTGGGGCTTTCTTCGGACAAATACCGACAACCCGCAGTGATGTCTGAGCGTGGGCCTCACCCCGTGTTCTGTTGCTTGTTTGCACCTTTCCTCCTCCTCCTCCTTCACATTCTTTTGGCTGTAAAAGGGTGAGTTTTCTAATAATGGGACTTAAAGTAGCAGCCTGTTTGGGCAGTTGCCGCTACCCTCTGCTTCCGTCTTCTGAGTTTGTCATCTTATTGTAAAGAAAAGTGTTCATAAACAGAAACATGTTCCCTGGCAAGTAGGGAGGCACAGGTCCCCGTGGCAGACCCTGCCTCCTCTGTCCTTGCCGGGGAGTCTCCTGGGATGGGAAACTCCCAGTCCTACCCCTGCTGCCTTGCTCACATCGGGTCCAAGTGAACGTGGCAGTTCCCACTCTGTGCAGTAAGTAGGAGGTTGTGGGTTGTTTTCGTTTATGGTCCACCGCAGCCCTTCTCACTGGTGTGGCCTGTTGTCCCATACAGTTGGCCTCCTTTCAGGGATGCTGAACCTGGGAGACCCTTGATCACTCAGTAAAAAACGTTCTAAAATCTTTCGGGAGGAAAATGAAGGCTGCAAGGTAATATCCTCCCAAAACCTTGAAGAAAGACCCAGAAACTCCTGGGGAGGAGGGTGACGGGTGTTTAGAGGGAGTCTAATATTTTAAAAGCTACAATTAGCATCTCTTTTGAAAGCTGCAATTGCTCTCTCACTTTTTGCAGCAGTTCAGCCCCCAGAAAAATGTAAAACTGATTTCCTCGTTCTGTCATTAAATGCTTCCACACGGAAAACAGGGATAAATGTTAAGGGATCCTTGTGGCTGTGACAGAATACTAAGAGAGAGCCGGATTTTGTTTTTATTAATGTGGCCTCCCGTGCGAGTCTTGCTGGCTGCACGGTCCACTGCGATGCACAAGATTTCATTTTTGTGGACCCGCTTACTGTCAAAAACGAGTTTCACTCCCTGACAGGAATTTTCAAACGCTTCAGAAATGAGGGACATGTAATTAGGGTGTGGGTGGGGTGGAAGTATTTTATTAAATTGAAATGACTGTGGTATCTATCTTGAACATTTGCCATGTTATATTTTTATGAAACTTAGCATGGGGTGCGGTGCGTCTGCGCTGTCCTTACCTGACCCCCACGCTGTGTAGGCATGGTGCTTCCTGCCTGAGCGTTCATGCCCCCTGGGTGCGATCGTAGCGCTCTGCTCACCTGGATTTCCGTCATCCACCTGCCTGAGCTCTGTGAGAATGGCGATGGTATCTCTGCTTTCCGTAGTCCTGGGCTTTGTGCCTGGTGTGAGTAGGTATCTAGAAAGTAGCTTTTGGTTGGATAAAAGAAGGAATGAATGTTTAAATGTGGCAAGAACGATTACTTTCTGTCTGAAAGATAAAAAGTAAGGGTATCAGAGATGAGCTATCTTGCGCATAATTGTCCTGCGAATGTACAAAAGAGCCATAATCAGAGCCTAGGTTGGTTTGCCTCAGCAAGGCATACTCCTTGGGTTGCATTTTATTGTGTATGTGCTGTTACAGGTAAAAATAGAGGGCTATCTAATGGATGTCCCATTCCGGCAGTAATGGTCAGGGAAAGCTGTGAAGAAAGGGAAATACTTTATTTGGGCTTTGTAAGGTGAGTGGGACCTGCTAGGGCCCTAGGCATAAAAGTGGAAGGGGACACATGGCCTTTTTTTGTTGTGGGAGCAGCAAGAGTAGAGGCACAACCTCAGTACTGTGGTTAAGTTCTTAGGTTCTGAAGACAGGTAGCCCTGCATTCAAGTTCTACCCCTGCCACTTCCCTCTGGGGAGAAAGTGGCAATTTATCTCACCTCTAACCCTGAGTAAAATGGGAATCATAATAGAGGCAGATCTAGTTTGTGTGTGTGGATGTGTGTGTGTTGCACTGTTGTGCCTACCTCAGTGTCCTGAAGCTCAAACAACTTCGTAGGACTTAAGGAATACAAATACTTTTTTTTTGTAGATTTTATGTAAACAGATGACTGTGTGCTTGAGGGGATTGGTGACCTGTGAAGTGCTGGCGCTCCTGTGGTAATGATGAGGATTGTAATATGTATGTAACAGGGGTGTCACAGTGTTTAACTGAGATAAGTCATGTGGAATATTTTGCAGTGCTTCTTGATAGCACTCGGTCATTATTAGCTGCTGCTGTTCTCAGGACAGAGTAGTCCGGTGTGGCTAAAGCTCAAAGTCACATGGAGATGAGTCTGCAAAGGTAAGCGGAAGCCGCCTGGGAAGTGCAGTGTGTGAGTGGGAGGGACGTGTCCGACGTGGGGAAGATGCCTCCGGCAGTCGTGTGGCGGAGGTCTGGGCGGAATGCCGTGAGCTCGCTCTGTTGTCCTCCGTTTCTGCCTAGGCACGTGTCCGTGCAGAGTGATGTTCTTATTTAATGATTATTCTGGGTTTCAACACACAGTGTAGTATTGATACTATGAAGGAATTGTGTGCAATGTAATAAAAATGGTGAATGTTTAAATTTTTCAAAATTTATTATAGTAAAAGACACGTTGTTATTAATTCCTCACAAAATATTGCCCCCTTACTTTGAACACACTTACCCTGTCATTCTGGTCACGTCCGGAAACAGTTCTAGCAGTCCTCTTTTTTAGTCGCGGTGTCCTTGTGCCTTGATATCTTGAATTGACTCACATGTTTACCTTTCTCACGTGGTCGTTTTGACTTCGGGGAAGAGCCAGAAGCTGCACCATGTCAGATCTGGGCACTGAGTTGGGTGGAGACACACTGTGACGTTGTTTGCAGGTTTCTCTTCCCATCGGATGGCACCTGGCAGCGGCATTCACCGTAGTTTTGATCGCACCTCATAAAGACACTCACGAAAGAGGGTTTCCAGAACTGCTTCGCAAAGCAGCAAGAGCGACAGGATAAGTGCATTCGGTGGGAAGTGGAGTATTTGAAGGGCATTGATGCAGTGTGTCTTTAATGTAGTAATTTTTAGACATTCACTGATCACACATGGTGTAGTCAGTATTGCTAGCATATTTTATTATGACTGTTAAGTGTTACTTTCAAAAATGAAAACTACCTAAAGAAAAATTATAGTCCTTAGTAGGTGCCTTTTTACAGAATGTGAGCATGGGAGTTGTAAAACTGTGTTTTCGTACAAAAGATGCATTTATAGTCAGTTTGGTTACCAGTAATTTTTTGTCACTTCTGTTTTGTGGATTATACTAATACTGCTTTACAGAAGCAGCCTTTCAGAATAAGGTTTTCTTATATTTGCCTCTAGGGTTT